TTAGTTGTCCTAGCAAACGTTGTGCTGGAATAGATAACATATTTTTTTCCGTGTAGTGCAGGCACCTTTGGTAAAAGCACAAGAAGCACAGATATAGTAAGAGAAGCGTGACCCCGGAAAAATTGAAAGAAGATATGTAAGACGGCCGATTACTAAATAGTTACAAGTTGTTCTTCCGGCTCATTTCATTTTGATAGCTCGGGATGCGGCACGGCTGGGTAGCACTGCAAACGGCCACCTCTCTGCACACGTGTGTATGTGTGTGTGTGTGTGTGTGTGTGTGTGTGTGTGTGTAGTGTAGTGTAAGAGCGGAGAGGGGTGTAGGGAGAGGTTATGGCACAGCTCCCTAATTGAGGCGCGCGCACACACACAGTCACTCACTCACACACACACAGTCACTCACTCACACTCTCACACACACACACACACACACACACACACACACACACGTTGCGTCACGGTGGACAAGAGGAGACGCACACCCACACTTGTCTACTCCACTTTCGCACGCGTTGCGTACATCAATCACGTATATACACTGTTTGCAATTTGCGAAATGACACCGGCGACATGACTGATTCACACAGTCACAGCTTCGATATTCGCGGCGAAAGAGATTTTTTTCCGTCTTGAACGGGCTTTGATCGCAGCAATTATAGCGCAATCTTCCCCAACGAGAACTACGTGACCACCACTGTCAAAACATTCTGCTCCAGTGTGGGAAATGCAGTTTCCTGGCAAACGTGCGAGGTTGATTTTACTTAAATTCCTGATGGAAATAATGTGGCCTCTCACGCGAAAGGACAGTTCGGCCTGCAGGGGGTAGCGCCAGCCCACGGCACTACCCCTCCATCCACTCCATCGCAGGGGTGTAACTCCCCGGTACAACAGCACACTAAATCCTTATTTATTCAATGTGCCAAAATATTGTGAGGAATTGTCATTGTGCGCAAGCTTAAAGTATATGTCAATGCACATTTCAATGCATACTCAATTTACGAATCCCACAATCTGAATGAAAGGGTAAAATTTGTTTCCAAAAATGCAACTTTTTCGTGCACATTCAGACCATATGCAATTTTGTTCTTAAATTTGGTCAAGATATATAGAGTCTTAGGTAAAGGTAGTATAGAAAACAACTGCATCAAATGTGTATGAAATCGTACATGCTCAATTAAACACGATTGTGCTAATGTGTTGTTTGACTAACACACATAGAACAAATCGAGGGGGCCACCTCTTTGATCTAGGATGTACACAGGATTACGTGATTTCAGGGATTACACGTGAATCTTGGGGTATTACAGATGAATTTTGTTGAATTTCTGGCCATAAAACCATTAAATTTGGGTAAAAAGGTGAAATTTCGTGATATTTAAAAAAAAATTATCGTACGGAATACATACGGATTTACAAAGGGATTGCACTTCCATCTGTACACAAGGTTACGCAAGTCGTGGCCACCTCGGAACTAATGCTCTGTAATGCGAGGTACGAAATCGTACGCAAGTTACAGATGCACTGATTCTTGCTAAACCTAGGCACAAAATTAATTGTCCCTATAGAATTTGAATGTAAAGACAAGTCACACGATGTTAGGAGTTAGAGAAGATGCTCATTGGACTAGACTTAACAAGGCGAAGAAACAATTAAGTCGTTATGTGTCGCAATTTGCAGTGGCATTTACTTATCTACAGTACGTCTCTGGTTGCAGACGGATATTCTTACCAAAAGTAGTAAGTAATGAGGTTTACTGGTCGGCGTGAGGGGACGTAATTGTTGCGTTTGCACGAGGGCTGAGTTTGTCTTGGTATCGGCCACAAAAGCGTGTTCCGAAAACTCGAAAGTGCCTAGGAGGGTCATGATACCCACGCTGAGAAATCAAGAGAATTCAACCTCAG